AAAGTTCATGCCGTGAAGCAAGCATATTGCTTTTAAGCTTTGCTCACAGCGCTAAACTGCCCCAAGACCCTCACTGTTACAGCCAAAGGGTCCAGAATTTATATGATAACAGGCAAGCTTGCAAGGCATGCTACAGTATTCTGCGAACAATGGCTGTCGCTGGCAATTGAATGGTCGTTCCGAAACGTCCACCTAGGATTAAACATTGCACCTGGAATAAAGACAAAGGGGTGGCTCCCCAAAAAATGCACCTGGAATAAAGACAAGCACCCGCCACCCCCGCCCAAATTTTCTGAACGAAAAGTATAAGGAGCATGACAAAATGGAACAAACAGAGAAAGAAGAGGAGAGGTAGCCAAGCCAACACCTGGTCCTTAGATCTTTGGTACCTTGTTCTTCAGCACTGCCCAGCTGCCCAAGAAGTCATGGTTTCTTACATGTCTCTTGTTTAAAAACTGCCTGCAATCAAACCTGCAAAGGGGGTGGGTAGTACTTCAGGCCCCCAAACTTGAGCCCAAGACTTTATTTCAGGGGCCCCTACAATAAAGTCTTGTTGTCTGGCCCCCTGCAAATATACAACTAGCCCAGTGTAACTACCTATGAAGCTTCGGGCTTTGTTGTTAGATTTGGGCCTGCTTCCCTAAATCAAACATGTCCAGCTTCCCCAAGCTCTTGTTTTCTTGCATGTCTCTTGTATAAAAACTGCCTACAACCAAACCCACAAACAACCTAGTACTTCAGAAACTTCACCCCCAATTTGACATTATTTCAACGGCCTCTGAAATAAAGTCTTGTTGCCTGCCCGCGGCTGCCCGCGCCCAAAAAAGTATCAAAAGGAAGCTCCAGCAATACAAAATGAAATGGAAACTAAGTTCCAGATCTCACAAGGAAGCTCCAGCAATGCAAAATCAAACAGCAACTCAGTTCTAAATCACAAAAGGAAGCTCCGGCAATTCTAAATCACATGGAAACTCAGTTCCAGATCTCAAAAGGAAGCGCCAGCAAGGCTAAATCAAATGGAACCTCAATTCCAAATCTCAAAAGGAAGCTCCAGGAATGCTAAATCAAATGGAAACTCCAGCAATACCAAGTCAAATGGAAACTCAATTCCAAATCTCTAAATCATATGGAAGCTCCATTCCAAATCTCAAAAGGAAGCTCCAGCAATACTAAGTCAAATGGAAACTCAATTCCAAATCTCTAAATCAATCAGAAACTCCATTCCAAATCTCAAAAGGACGCTCCAGCAATACTAAATTAAATGGACATTCAAGTCTAATTACCGATACTAAAGCAAATGGAAGCAACATTGAACGGGATCTCAAGAGATTATTCTAGGCACCCCCTTTGTTGGGGTGGGGGAGGGCCCCCCCTTTACTAATCCCAGGTGGACATTACTCCGAACAAAGACCATTTACAGGACATTGCTCCGAACATAGTTCGGATAGGTGGACAGGGTCCGGAAGGGCGGACGCCTCCGGATGCGTCCGGACGAGAAAAACATACAAAAACACCTTTTTCTATCCAAAACACCTTTTTTTGTTTTGGGCGTCCAGCGGGGCGTCCGAAAAGGCGTATTTAGGCGTCCAAAAGGCGTATTTAAGCGTCCGTCCCGGACTAGTCCGAACCAAAACACATTTTTTTGAAAAAACACATTTTTTTGATAGTCCGGGCCCGTCCGGACCTATCCAGACCCGTCCGGACCCGTCCGGGCCGTCCAACCGGTCCGGCGGACCCTGTCCACCTATCCGGACTATGTTCGGAGCAATGTCCTGTAAATGGTCTTTGTTCGGAGTAATATTCGCCTGGGATTAGTAAAGGGGGGGCCCTCTTCCCCCCAACAAAGGGGGTGTCTAGAATAATCTCTTGAGATCCAGTTCAATTTTGCTTCCATTTGCTTTAGTATTGGTAGGCTTAAGTTTCCATTTAATTTAGTATTGCTAGAGCTTCCTTTTGAGATCTGGAATGGAGTTTCGATTTGATTTAATATTTCTGCAGCTTCCTTTTGAGATCTGGAACGGAGTTTCCATTTGATTTAGTATTGCTGGAGCTTCCTTTTGAGATTTGGAATGGAGTTTCCATTTGATTTAGCATTCCTGGAGCTTCCTTTTGAGATCTGGAACTGAGTTTCCATAAGATTTAGTATTGCTGGAGCTTCCTTTTGAGACTTGGAATTGAGTTTCCATTTGATTTAGCATTGGAGCTTCCTTTTGAGACATGGAACTGAGTTTCCATGTGATTTAGAATTGCCGGAGCTTCCTTTTGTGATTTAGAACTGAGTTGCTGTTTGATTTTGCATTGCTGGAGCTTCCTTTTGAGATCTGGAACTTAGTTTCCATTTGATTTTGTATTGCTGGAGCTTCCTCTTGATATTTTTTTGGACGCGGGCAGCCGCGGGCAGGCAACAAGACTTTATTTCAGGGGCCGCTGAAATAATGTCAAATTGGGGGTGAAGTACTAGGTTGTTTGTGAGTTTGGTTGTAGGCAGTTTTTAAACAAGAGACATGCAAGAAAACAAGAGCTTGGGGAAGCTGGACATGTTTGATTTAGGGAAGCAGGCCCAAATCTAACAACAAAGCCCGAAGCTTCATAGGTAGCTACGCTGGGCCAGTTGTATATTTGCAGGGGGCCAGACAACAAGACTTTATTGTAGGGGCCCCTGAAATAAAGTCTTGGGCTCAAGTTTGGGGGCCTGAAGCACTACCCACCCCCTTTGCAGGTTTGATTGCGGGCAGTTTTTAAACAAGAGATATGTAAGAAACCATGACTTCTTGGGCAGCTGGACAGTTTGATTTTTGGGGAGCTGAAGAACAAGGTACCAAAGATCTAAGGACCAGGTGTTGGCTTGGCTACCTCTCCTCTTCTTTCTATTTTTGTTCCATTTTGTCATGTTTCTTATACTTTTCGTTCAGAACATTTGGGGGGGTGGCGGGTGCTTGCCTTTATTCCAGGTGGCCACCCGTTTGTCTTTATTCCAGGTGCAATGTTTAATCCTAGGTGGACGTTACGGAACGACCATTCAATTGCCAGTGGCAGCTATTGTTCGCAGAATACTGAGCTTACGGAACGACCTTTCAATTGCTAGTGACAGCTACTGTTCGCAGAATAGCAGGTGTTGCAAGCTTGCCTGCTATCATGTAAAGACTGGACCCTTTGGCTGTATGCTTGCTTCAGGACATCAACTTTAAGGGCAACTGGTACATGTTGCGCTGAGTCGCATTAGCCAGAGAACCACCGTTCAAACAACATGTGAACTTGATCATCTAGGAGGCATGGTGAAACAGAACATACCCGAATTTGCAAAGTATTGTACATCATGCTTAATTGAGCTGTTTCTTGTGTTGTTTGTAGATTGAAACAACTTTGGGCACATGGCCCAAGGGCACAGAGCTGTGGACAAATACGGAATCACTCCCATCGCGCTGCTACAAAGTCTGCGAAAGTTATCCTTCTCAATTTGTTGCGACAATATTTGTTCATTGAACTTATACCTTCTTGGACTCTACTGTCGTGAAAGTAGAGTGACATTACATGAACATGCAGTGAACTGCGCATGGCACACTGTTTCAAGCCATTAGAAGACCGGGTTCTGCCATGAAAGACCGTTTGTGATGTGTGCCGCGCAAAGCACACCGCACACACTAGAAGCAACAACTCGAAATGTCTAACTCCTGTTTAAGTGATGTTGGTTCTGTGCATTGTCGCAGCGCCCTCCTAAACATCAGTTTGAGTTGTGGTGCACCAAGCCACCTGCTCGCTTCCAAAGGAAACCTGACTTGGATGCCTTGCGGCTCAGTGATCGGCTCCAACACTAGGCAGCACGCAACGGAGCAGCCTTCTTAACTTGTGCAACTCACAAATGTTTTTCTCACACAAAAATGAAAGGCTAATAGCGCGGCTTTTGTTTTCCCTTGTGTTGTGTTGGCATTCAAGCCGTTTGGGCCAAGGTCAAATTATGTTTGATGATTTCTCCCATGCCAACATCAAAGGCATTGCGCAGCTGAGCTGAACCTGGAGGTTTGACATTGGGTGACAGCAAGGTCCGCGCCGCTGCTTGACTTGGCACTTGTATCTTTCAAGCAAGCCCTGCGCAGTGAACAACAACGTTGTTAATTCAAACAAGTCAAACACACCGCTAGCGAAATTGCAGGGTTGACAAAGCAGCGCATGAAAAAACGAAAACACCCAAACATGGAACTAACACCCCAAAAAATTGACAAAACACCCCAACAATGAATGCAACACAGCACCACCCCAAAAACGAAGGGTGATTGAGGGTCCAGGTATTATTATGTATTTAGTCTTATTAATTATTTGTTATTATTATTATTATCTCTCGGGCAAAACACCCCAGGGGCGAAACGGCGTGAAGCACCGGACAAAGAGGGGGGTCTCTCGTTTTTACGTCGGGTTTGCCTCACCTCAGCGATTGAATCGCCGGAACGAGCGAAGACCCTTTTACGGGATCCATGTCTTGTTGGTTCAGCAAATCCATTTCTCACACTCCTGGAGTTGGAGTTCCTGGATTTCAAGCTTTTTGGAAAATAATCCCTATAGCATCCCAAGACCTCAAATAATTGGGTTTTGGGACCTCGGGCATGCTTTTCTTTTGACATTTTGTTGGTTGGGTCAATCCACTCAGGTGAGGCGCACTTGAAGTGAGCTGCCAGTAGTCTCTAACATTTGCAGTTGTATGAAACCGTGCAATTTGCAGATTGGAGGGGAGGCGTTTCTCTTTCTTTGTGCAGTTCACCGGGTTCCGGAACCCGGTGCTTTCCCGTAGCCAACCTAGGGGATCCCAGCTACCCTTTTGGTAACACTTCGATCCATTTTCCTTTCAGTTTTGAAAGGGCGCCCGGCAAGGTTTTGGTTACCTAAAAGACCAAATGGATCCTTGTATTGCAGGGGTTGGCTACCAGGTAAATGGATCCACTGGCAAGCCCTTGGATACCTACAAAACTAGGTTAATGGATCTTGGTCATCGCCGACTCGTTTTGCAGGACCTTCCCTCCGTGGACTTCAAATCCTTCGAGTCCTCCTTCCAGATGCTCCGCTCCGCCCGGGAGGCATCGAGCGCTTGCGCTACGCGCAGATTCGGACCGTCCTATTGAGTGGCCTGCCCCGTTCTGCGGGTTATGCTGTCTAGGTCCTAGGTGCCCTTTCTCACCCTTTTTAGGGGAAGGGTTCCCCTACTAAAATAGACCTCTCTACTGGAAGACCTAGCTGTGGATGGTTGCGAAGTCCATTTCGCGCCGCGCAAGAAGCACTGGAATGATTCGATTCTCCAGCCCATGGTTTCAAAGTGGTAATTTTAAAGTCCACTCCTTGCCACCAGTTCATGGTCGGCATGTGTGGCTATGTCGGAATACCGCAAAATAGCCAGGCATTACCTGGTCGAGCCATGAGCAAAACCGATTGTAGTAGATGAAGCTGAGGGGGGACCTCCATCCCGATGGGTGCAGACATAGCCCGTTTGATGATCCATGAGTGGCGTGTTGCGAGTGATGCAAAACCACCTGTCCAACACAAAACAGGAGTAACCCGCCAAGGCAAAACCACAGGTGTCCTGTTTGGTTGGTTTAGTAGAAAATAGACGGCGATTCCTGTTCATCTGGTTGTTTCCTAAACCAGGGCCATCTTTCTTCCCAAAGGGCACCTATGGTTTCTACTCCGAAACAGGGAGTTGTAACCCAAGCGGGGTGTGCCTCTTAGAGTCTCAGATTCCCCTGTTTTATACCAACTGCATGCTGACTACTCCGAGACTATGAAACTCGGTGATTCCAAAAGGGCACCTATGGGCCACACCTTTCCCAAACCAAACCGAAAGACTCCCGTGATGTTCGGCAGAGAACGCTGGAGCGAGGCTTTGGCGAGTCACGTGAAGAAGTGTGAGAGCCTGCACGAGAACATCGACAGGCGCGTGACACGCGCATTTTGCCACCGACTCCAGGTTTCCCTGTCGGACTTGATCGTCACTTCGAGTTTGGTTGTCGTTGTAGAGGCTTAGACTTTCAAAGTTTGCCTGGATCCGAAAGAACTACCCATAAAAAAGGGGATGTTTCACAAAGCACATTAATTGCGGGGTTGCAATAGTTGCAATATTCAATAACCAATTTGTTCGAAAAAAAGGAAAACGGCTCGAGCCGTTGAGG